GGGGGCGGGGCCGCTGGGCTCCAAGAATCCTGAGGGTTAGGGAGAGGAAGCAGGGACGCCTGTGAGCCCCGTGGGATCACGGGGACAGCGTGAACTTGAAACCTGCAGCAACTCTACCCTCATGCCCAGCCCACCAGGCTCCAGGTCACGTGGGGCAGGGGGCCTGCTCTCTAGACCCAGCTTCCCCCTGGGCCACAGGCATGCAAACGAGTTTTTCTGGTCCTGGAGGCACAGCTCTGCTGGTGGGTTTCCCTTCCTCGCCCTGCACACCCACGCGAGACCCCACTCATTCCCTGCGTCTTCGTCCAGCAAATCCTCCCTGTACCCTCAGGCCAGGCCCTGCGCCTGGGCCCTAACTCCCACACAGGCCGCTGGGGAGCAGACACAAAGCAAAACCCCTGCTAAATGGGGCTCCAGCAGTGATCCCGCCAGCCAGGGCAGGGCCGGGGAAGCCTTCCCATGGGGCAGTGGCTGAGTAGGAGTTGGCCAGACAGAGAGGGCCGGGGAGAGTGTTCCAGGTAAACAGAGCAGGTTCGGAGGCTCTGCTTTACGTCTGCTGGCTGGAGCAGGGAGCCCGTGATGTGGCAGAGTATGCAGGGAGGCACCCGCTGGGTGACACTCAGGACCTTGGATGCCAAGTAAGAGGAGAGACTCTGTCCCGTGGGTGGAACCAAGCCGGGACAGCCACATGTGCCTCAGCGCGGCGCCTCCGCCCCCGGGGTGGGGGGGTGGGGGGCGGCCAGGAAGAAGACCAGCGCCGTGGTCCCCCAGGGCAGCACCACGGAGGCCTCCTGTGCGGGGCCGGGCGGCAGGGATGCAGAGCAGGGATGCTTGATGCAACAGCGGCGCCAGAGTCAGTGGCCTCCCTGGGGGGCGAGCAAGGGCCTGAGACCCTCCCTGTCTGGGCTCCCACTGGCCCAGCACACGGGGCGCCTCGTGCACACGGTCAGCCCAGAGCCCCGGCTTTGCAGCCCCACCAGCACATGGCCATACGTGCTCTCTGTCCTGGAGCACCATGCTCACCCACCCCAGGACTTGGCGCTCGGGCTCTCTGCCTGCAGACCCTCACCCGGCATCTCCATGTGGCCGGCCCCTGATCTCCAGACCCAAGTTCCCCCGGTCCCGCCCCGGTTCTTCCTGGAGAAGCTAGCCCTCGGCGTTATTTCCCTGGTGGCCCTGGTGGCTGTCTGCCTACCTTGCTGCCTTGTTTACTGCCTGCCCCTTCTCGGGCCGAACTCCGGCGGGCAGGCCCACCATCGTCTCCCGGGCCCGGAGAATTCTGTGAAGGTTTTCAGGCAATGACCACCCGACACCCTGACCTGCCCTCACTTCACACCACTTGCCACTTGGCTGAGGGGAAAGGCCACCACAAAACAAGGTGGTTCCCAGTGGCATTGCCACGCATCCCCGCAGCCCGGCTGCCCCAGCAGACGGTCTCGGCTGGTCGGCGTTCAGGCCACCCCATAACGGAGCAGAGGGAAACAAGGCTGGCCATCTCAGAAAAACAATTAAGTGGCCTCGTCTTCGCCAGCGCCAGATAGATTTTCCAGCTCTGCCTGCTTTGGGCAGCGCGAGGTATGCGCTCTGTGTAACGAGAGCCATCGCGGGCGAGATGGACCGCCGATTGGGCCACGCCTGTCTCCCCAGCCCGGCGCAGACGCCGGGGAGCCCTGCACCTCTTCAGCCATCAGACCGCCTGGCACCAGAGGGAGACGGGCTGCCCGTGCCATTTGTCAGGGTCTGGTGCCAGCCGCCTTCTTGCAGAAGGAAGGCCGGGGAGTCAGAGACATACCTGCCGGGCTGGCACTTGCCTGAGGGCTGCGCCGGGGCCTTTCCCACGCCCCACGCCTGACCCCAGCGGCGGGCGTGGGGCCTTCGATCTGACACCGGGCTGCCCAGCAGGAGGGAGGCTCCCCTTGGCCCCAGCATCCTGGAGCCCCATCAGCCGAGAGCCCCGCCTCCCCAGGGAACGCGGGCTTTGAGGTGGGCGGTGGAGAGGGAGACCGAGTCCCTCGGGCAGCGAGCAGGGCCGTCCCCGCTGACTCTACGGTTGTCCCTTGAACCAGCCTCCTGGTCACCTTTCTAAACGTCCAGCAGCTGCAGGTCCAACACCCAGTGCCCTCCCAGACTCGCTTCCCCTGCGGAGCCATTGTCCAGAGCCTGCTCCGGGTGGGCACCCCGAGCGACGGGCTGGGTGGCGGCAGCGCACGTTTGCCGCCAGATGTGGACCAGAGTTCAAATCCTGGCTCTTCCCAGCTGGCTGTGGGGCCTCACATGAGGCACCGCCCTCCTCAGGGCTCCGTTCTCCGCAAGTGCGTGGAGGGCCCGGGGGACGGGACGGCCAGGGTCCTCCCCGCACTGAAGCGCGACGTGAGCTTCCGCTGGCCCCTCTTCTCGGAAGCAAGCCAGCGCCCAGGCGAGACTGGGCCCGGGAGGACACCCCTCACGTGACGGCAGAGGCATAGTAGGTGCAGCGGGTGTGCAGGGGGGGATCCACCGCCTCGTGCCCATCCCAGCTTCCCGCCGGGCTCCAGACACGTTAGGTCTACTGGCCAGTGGAGCCTCTGTGTGTGGATTAGAAGTGAGTGCCCCCTCTGGGGACACAGCGGCCTGCCAGGCCCCTCGTTTGGCAAGCAGGTGTGGGCTGGTGCCCCTCACTAGGGTGTGGAGTCTGCACACGTCCTGCCCCGCCCAGGCTCACCCTCACCTCAGCCCTGCCAGCCTGCTCCCAGCAGGGTTGTGGGACTCACAGAGGGGGAGCGGCTTGTTCTGGAGTGCCCGGTGGTGCAAAGCTAGTCTGGGGCCTGGCCAGAGCCTCGGCCCATATGCTCGGGGTAGCCAAGTCGTCTCACCCTGGCCGGCAGCCCACGGAGAGACTGCCTCGTGCTGCCCCCGAGCAGGCGCCTCGTAAAGACAAGCCCCAGAGAAAGGGGCTCAGGAGCCTGGTGTTGGAGGACGGGAAGGGTGTCGCAGGCAGAAGGAACAGCATAGGCGGAGGGGAGCCCAGGGACGGCCGTGGGTTCCTCAAGGCTGCTGGGAAAGCACGAAAGCAGTGGATGATGGGGCTGGAAGGGTCAGGTGGGCGTGAGGGTGTCAGCAGAAAGCAGATTTCCGCTCAGTCGTTCGGCGGGAGGGAGTAGACAGGGGGTCTGTACCGAGGCGTGGGTGCTTAAAGGAGCCAGTGAGCCGTGGGGGCCGCTCCACCCACGCCTGGGCTTAGGGGGACAGCATCTGCCAGCGCCCAGGGGGGAGGACCCCAACAGGAGCTCTGGCCAAAGAGAGTGGGACCGGCACCCCACTTCTCCCTCCCTCCGCACTCCGATCCACTGAGGTCCTCTGGCAGAACCGTGATGCCGTCTGCAGAGGTCACCACCCGGGCACACAGCGGTGCAGGGAGAGCATCTCCAGCGGCGGCTGGAGAGTGCCGAGCCCGGGGGGCCTCAAATGCCAAGTCTCAGGGTAGAGACTTGGCGTGAATGCGCCGGGAACAGCGGGGCCGCTTAGAGCACCGAGTGCGGGGCGGCCCACAGGAGCCTGAGCGCTGGGTGGGTGGTGCCTTTCCCATGTTTCGG